AAGACGCTAAGCTTAATATTATACGAAGGACGTAAGACTTAAAGAGTATACTTATTACTTCGTACAAGTTAAAAGAGTACAAGGCTTCGATTAGCAACTTTAAATTACTTTTGATTAACAATTAACGGCCGTAACTTAATTCTCTATTGAATTAAGAACTATTAATAGCTAACACTTGATAATAGCGTTGCTCGAAAACGCAACTTATTATACTTTTACTTTTATCGACTTATTTAAACTACCTTCGAATATCGTTCTTTTAAAGCACTTCTTATTCGACCGATACTCGGCTTATAAATTCTAAGGATTTATCTTCGATTTTAAAGCAGCCAACCTCTTTATTGCAAAAAAGCAATAAATAAAAGCTTTAAACAAGCTCTTCCTTCTTCGAATCAACCGAAAAACGGCCGACAAGAATACTATTAAGTTCGGAAGCAATATTATACGTATTACAAGCTTTATAATAGTAAATACCTTCTTTAGATCAATCGAATTCTATATTATTAATATAAAGACTTTTTTCCTTATCTTACTTGAAAATATAAATTGACTTTAAGTCTATTACAATAATCTTGATAATATACTCGTTTAAAGCAATAAGCGTATTTTAATAATACGTAAATAAAGCTATTTATTTTTTATGCTATAACTTAAAGACGCTTTTGCGAACGCGCACTTTACGAAACAAGAGCTACGCTAATTACACCGCAGATTCGGCTACTTATTTATTCTACGCTTGCAAAAGATTCTTAACCTTAGCGGTCACGATAATATCGATCTTAATATTTTAAAGAAGATCGAAAGGTTTTGCTATTAATATCAAATGCATAATACAGCTTCGAGCCGATACAAGTTCACTTTAAAAAATGATTTAAAGTTTAATTATTTTATTATTATAAACGTAATGCACTTAAACGATAGACTAGTACTATACGTCGTCGACTTAGCTACTACCTTTTAAGCTAAGCGCTTCTTAAAAGACATATCGATTATTATTACTTAAAACGCGCTTAAAGAATGCTAGATTAACAGCTACTTCGGTCCTTTCGACTTAATTATTTACGACTTAAGAATAAACTTTGCAGCAGCTAAGTTCCGCGGTCTAATTAAGATAATATCTATCGATATTAGCGAAATGCTTACAAAGGCTTATAATAGCGTAAAAAAAGTAGAAAGATATTATCAACTTTTACGACGAGCTTACGAGATCATCTCGAAAGAGATGCAAGACTTAAAAGTAACTAAAAAACAGATCTTGCAAATAGCAATCAAGGCCGTTAACGATACCGCCGAGCTAGCAAGCTTAATACTTACTTTTTTTATATTTAATACTTACTTTCGCATGACTTACTTAAATTTACTAGCCCTTTCTATTACTATTAAAGCAAAAGCTATTAAAAAAGCTATATCGGAAGTAAGAAGATTACAAGCTATAAGACAAGTAGCAAACGCTTTAAATATGCGCAACGGACCTTTTACGATTAAGACGCTAGCTTTCTTTTTGCAAAGCCAAGTAAAAGTATAAAGAGAAAAGAAAAAAGACTAGCGCGCGTAATAGACCGGCCTTTATACTTTTATTGCGATAAAAAGCCATACGTGCACGGTTTAAATTAATAACAAAGCAGTTTAATTTAGAACTACGATAATCAAGCTATATTATTAAAAAAATACTACTTAAGAAAACGAAAAGCGTTCCGAAAAAGAAAGACTATTAATAAAAAAGGCTTTACGTCGAAATAGCAAAAACAAACGACTTTTAAAGCGTTACTATACAAAAGCTAAAGAGCTAGCGCAATTCTTTATTATATTAAGTAATATTAATACCTTCTTGACTCGGAAAGAGCAAACAGACCGAGAGTTAGTTACGAAGCTACAAGCCGAAAGTATAATTACCACTTTTAGCGAGATTTTCGAAGACTTATAACAGCGTAAGATCGAAAGCTTGATTGCACAAAGCGTATTTAAATTCATCTTATACGACCTTATAAAGCACGCAAAAGAGCGTATTTTTAGCTTTCGTCTTGTTAACGAGCTTAAAAGCAAAGAAATAACAACTTTATTCGAAAAGTCACGACTCGTTATACAAGCTTTCGCCGACGAAAAGAAAAAAGTAATTCTTACTTAATCTTTCGCTATATAACGCTCGAGCTAACGCTTTATTATTACACTAGCGCCAGCACTCTTACTGCTAAGGATTTCCTTTTACTTTCGTGATATTACGTAAGCTTATACTTAAAGTGATCACTTATTAAATAAGCTTATTCTAGCACGCTTATCGAAAAAGATAATAAAGTTTTACTTCGAAAGAACAATTATAAAAATCCGAAAAGCGCTATATAAGATTCTTAAAGCAAGCACTTTTTAGTAATCAACGTATTATACTTATTATAAAAAAAAGCTATCTACGATCACTTCGACTTACGACTTTTGCTTTTTGATTTGTATTAAAAAAAGCATATTTAAGCTCGTAAAGATGCAAGTAAACGACACTTATTACTTCGCCGACGATCGATTCGCAGCTAAAAAGAGGTTAGAACTTAAGAAGGCCGGCTTAAAAGCTAAAGATAAAACTAAGCTAACTTATATTATCGATATTAAGTTTAATAATTGCATTTTAAAGCTATAGAAAGACGATACTATGCTCTTTATATAAAAACAGCAAAGCTAAAAGCTCGCTTTCGTCTTCGATAAACTGAACTATAAGCAAGAGTACTTCGAGCAGCGCGCACGCAAAGCATATATTGCTTCCATTTACCAACTTGAAGCTTTATTTGCTTTTTTAGTAGCAGCTTAGCACAAAGACTCCGATAAAAACGAAGTGGCAGCCCTTAATAAGTGCCTTTAATAAATGATTAGCAATTAAAGCAAAAAGCTAAAATACGTCTTTATCGACCTTCGCTTAGTTAAGCTTTTTGTATTCGTAAATAGCTCTTTTGCAAACAATAAAGATCTATCTAGCTAATTAAAATACGTGATTATTTTAAAAAACGAAACGCGTACGATCGAAGAGACTTTCAAAGTCATAAGCAACGTAGTGCATTACAGCTCTACGAAAAGTAAAAGAGTTATTAAGAGTGTTTTAGCTTTAAAAATCCTCGGAATAATAGCTAGAGTAGATATTGCAATTGCTTTAAATACTACTTTAAATCAAATCACCGAACAGCTCTCGTTACTAAAGATATTAATAATAATAGCTACCGACTCTTATTCACTCTACGAGTGTTTAATAAAGCTCGGCACAACTAAAGAAAAGAAGCTTATGATCGATGTAATAGCTTTACGATAATCTTACGAACGCAAAGAGATCGCCGAAATACGCTAGATTAACGAGAAAAGCAATCCAGCTAACTATATGACCAAAGCAAATTTAAACAAAGCTTTAAAGAGCTTCGTCGATTGCAATACGCTAAAAGTGCGTATTAAGAGATAAGTGGATCGAGAATAATAAAAGAGGTTAAGATAAAGAAGTTCGGTAGAACTTCGAGACGTAAAAATTTGTATAAGTATAATTAAAGCGTTCTTTATAATAAGTAAAGAACTGCTAGTGTCGGAGTATACCAGCTATGCAACGGACAAGAATAAAAAAAACGACGGATAAGAATAGAAGGGACGATGAAGGTAGTAGTGGACTTGGCACGTAAAGGCGGCACGTGCGCCCGCGGTCCCCTTAAAGGACCGCCACTACCAGTATAGCAATACTAGACATCTACAACACAACCAACCCAAAGCGATAGTACTATCAAACACCTGTGTACCAACACTTAAAGACTCGCTAGCTTTATAATATTTCGACTTTATAAGTATACTCGATAAATTAAAGCTTACGCTACTCGGTAAAGAACCGTGTATTTTTACGAATTTAAATAAGACGGTCTTTATAGCGTTTTACGTAAACGATATTTAAGTTATATATTATCATTTTAATCTTTTTAAAGCGTAAGAGATCATTAACGGTCTTAATAAAGCGTATAAGATCGAAGCGATAAAAGATATTAAATAGTTTCTTAATATAAAAGTCGCTCGAGACCGTTAACGAAGAACGCTAACGCTTATACACGACGTTTATATTGAAAAAATAACTAAGAAATTCGAACTTACGGACGGACGCTGCTTAGCAATTCTATTATTGTTTTATAACTTAATTAAAAATAAAAAGATAGCTTCGCGGAAGCAAGTGAAAGAGTATTAAAAGAAAGTTAAATCCGTGCTATATATAGCGATTATGCTACGCTTAAATGTAACTTTTGCAGCTTTTTAAATCTTTTATTTTAGCATTAATTTAAGCGCGAAGCATTTTCGAGCTATAAACTAATATTTACGATATTTATTTAGCTCGCGCTTTAAAAGTATTCAATAAAGTTAATTTAGCAAGTCGAAGCTAGTAATAGCTTTTAACGCTTTTTACGCCGATAACGAAAAGATAAAGCGATCTTTTTAAAGATATATTATATTTTTATTCGAAAGTGCGATCTTTTAAAAAGCTTTAAAGCAAGATACAATTATTATATCATCTATTAAAGCGGAGCTTCTTGGCATAGCCCTTATAATAAAAGAGATCATGGCGCTTTAACGGTTTTTTAAAGAGTTGCACCTTCGTTTTGCGGCGCTTTAAATAGTTTATTATAATAATTAACAAACTATTAAGCTTATAGCTGATAAAAAGGAGCGTATCTTTATTAAGCTTCGCTACGTCGATATTCACAATATGTGGCTGCGCTAAGAGCACTTCAAAAAGAGCTTTTAAGTTTAATATCTTTTTACTAATAAGATATACGTTAACGGTCTTATAAAGAACTTGATTCGATAGAAGTTTAAAAGCTTTATTAAGCTTTTGAATTTATAAAACGCTCGCGCGTTCGTCGAGAAGCTTTAATAGCACGCATATGCTGTTTACTTATTACATCTTATTTTTTTTTTTATACGTAATTTAAAAGAAAACATTTATTTAGCAATTATAGCCGTTATTCTATCTTATCTTATACGCTTTTACCTTTCGCTTTTTATAATAAAAGATCAACTAAAGCTCTTAGCAATCTCTTTACTTTAGCTCGGCGCTTCGTAAGAGTTATAACAACGGCGAGCGCCGCCGCGAAAGCGGCAAGCGCAATAACTAGCGCAAAAGGAGCGACGACGACGAGAGCGACGGGAGCTGCGAGGGCGACGAGAGCAATAAAGGCGGCTAGCGCAAGCGCAAAGGCTGCTACAGCAGCAGATTAAAGCTTTTGCATAAAGTCCGAAAAAAAGTTCTAATTAAAAAGAGCTGCTTGAATTAGATTATTTCAAAAGTTAAAGAGTTTAATTTACGAAAAGGTAATATGCTCGAAGCGTTCCGCGTCACCGGACTACGGTTCGCTGCTACAAAACTATTCAATTTAACAAAAGCTATATTTAAATTAAAAGTTTTAAAAGCAAAAGCAAAACTTGCAAAGCTACCGAGATTATTTTTAAAACTTTTACTTTTATTCGCTAGACCGCTCGGACTATTAGCAACACTTCTTAAAAAGGCAGCATCTAAGGCGAGCTATTATCGCATAGCATTTCGAAGATTCCGGCGAACTTTTTGTATAGCATTATTATCTTTAGCGCTTACGAAGTTTTCGAAAGCGATATTAGCAGCGATAAAAGCAGCGGTGCAATTGCTATAGCTACTTTTAGCATACCGGAGATAGCGAATAGCGCTCGTATCGCAATTATAATAGTCTTTATTAGATCCCGATATGATCTTATTATTGATGTATTTAATGCACTTTAAAGCTTTAACGGTCGTTAGCATAAGCAAGCGCTTAATAAAAGGGTTTAAAAGAAAGGGCGAAGCTTCGGGGGTAAGAGTGCGAGGTATAGCCGCCGCAGCCGCCGTAGCTGCAGTAGCAGCAATAGCTAAGGCGGACAAAGGATTCTCTTAATAAGTCAGCATAGAAATATTAATTTATTAAAAGCATTACTTACTCTTAGACGGCCTCGGCCGCGCTTAACGATTTTATTAGACTGAGTTACTTGCTTAAAAGACATTGTATAAATAGATAAAAGTTGAGTGTTTGTTATAATAAAAAAGAACGCGCTCTTACTTATATAGTAACGCGATAAGAACGGCGCTAAAGACTTCCGCTACGTAATAAGACCGACTTAAAAAGGAATTGCATTTTTAATTGACACTTAATCAATAATAACAACCGCTATTTATTTATTTAAATTGCGATGATAATCTCTTTTGTTTATATCGAGTTTAAAAAGCTTAGTTATTTATTTTTTTTCTTTTTTGTTTGCTTGCAGCTTAGCAGTTACGCTGCTAACTTAAAGGGTGTGTTATACGGAACAAGCATGGTTCTACTTAAGCTACATATAACATGTCATGTGACCTCGCTTAATAGCGCCTTTAGCACACTAAAGCTTTTAAGTATATGTACATAGATCTTAACGAGCTTCTTAAATAAAATATACTAAGCTTTATTTAATTTACAGAATCTCTTCTTAATCTTAGTGCTAGTAAGCACTATACTTTTTATTGTATTTATCTTTAATTATTAATAATTATTTGCTTCCGTCGAAACCGTTAAAAAAGTCGAATAGATTTTAAGCGATCTTGTAGAATAGCTTGGCTGCTTTATTATCTGACGTGCGGCGAGATATAACTTATTAAGCGTGCGTAATAGCATATGCTTTATATTCAACCTTAATAATTCTTTTGAGTCTTACTTTTTTAGCGTTATAAACTAACGCTTCGAGCGCTTTTTTGCTTAGATGACTTGTCCGTAAATACTAAAATATCGATAAATCCTTTTTTAAAGCTCGGAAGACACTATTCTTTTAAAATTTATAGCGTGTTTATAAGCGCTTTTAAGTTATAAAAAACATTATTAAGCAAAAAGAGCTACGAATCAATTAAGGCAAAGAATAATTGAATAGCTTATATTTAAAAAACGTAAAGTTAAACTTCTTTTTTAACTTTTTTAATACGACGCTTTCTTTAACCTTTTCGTAGCGGAGAGTTGCGTTATATCTCGAGTATTATACGCTAGCCTTGCTTAAAAGAGCTTTCGAGATGATATTAATATTAAACCTTTTAACGATAGCGACGTTTTTTAACTTTAAATCCTCCGTCTTAGCTTTATTTAATCTGTTTAAAGCTCTTTTAAAGATTCTAATACTTCGCTCGACGATTAAAAAACTATTCGTTTTAGCTTCGATGAAGTCGATTAAGCGAAAGCGTTGAATTGACCTTAGCTTTAAAAGATTCTTATCGTTGATAAAATAAATAGCGCTGCAATTATCGAAAAGAATGCTATTAGATAGCTAATGCTTATTATTAGCCGTGCTATAAAGACCGTTAAAGATAAGCTTATCGAGCGTATTAAAGAGCTTAAGATCGATAATAACTGTTAATACTTTTTTAAAGTATTTTAATTTATCGCTATCATTCGATTGCTTTTCTTTGCTTTTTAAGACTATCTTATCGACTTAAATTTATGCTTAACTTTTTTTCGTAATCTCTTTTCGAAGCGCTTTAAACTTAAGCTCTTAAAGCTTTTTCTTTATAACGACGATATTATCTCGATTCGGCTTTGCGAATCTATTTTTATTAAGATCGTTAAAGTAGTAGCGAAAGATCTTGCACTTGATTGCATTTTAATAATGTATTCTTTCTTTAAGACACGAGCATTTAAAACCTTTAACAAGTCTTTTAAAGCTATCGGAGCGTTTACTAGACTGCTTAAAAGCAATATCGTTAGCCTTATCACTTTCGAAAGTGCTGCGAGTAGTTTAATCTTCGAAAGTAGCGAATACGTTAAAAAAGTTAGAATTCGGATTGCTAGTCTTCTCGTTAACTTAGCTTTCGTATTAGTTAAAATAATCGTAGAAAGTGCGCTTTTAAAGCAATAATAGCTCGTCGTTTCGAATGACTTTTGCGAGCTTTAGCGACGCTTAAGTTAATAACTATTTTTCGTTAATAGCTTTTAAAAATGCTTTTATCGCGAGTGTACTCGTCGTTTCGTAAAGCTCGTTTATTTTCGCTAACTTATAGATAGCTCGATGTTTTTTGATCTAGACCGCTAAAGAGACGCTCTTTTGCTTAGCTACTTGCAAGGATTTATTATAATCTCGTGCTATCGATAGCTTAAAGCTCGAGTCGGATAAACGGCATATTTCTTAAAGCTTTTTTATTAAAAATTGAATAAAAGTATTGTCTTTCTTTATAGCCGTTAAGATCGCTTCCTCGAGAATAAAGCTTTTAATCGTCTTTTTAATCTAGTTTATAATTTGATTGCTCTTATTACTTAAGATTTTTTAATTGTTTATAACGAAGTTGTATTCTTTTATATTGTCGTTATACGCCTTTCGGACGTCTTCGAACTCAGCTTCTTTTAGTTATAAAAGTTGTTGCACAGTATGGTCCTTGCCTCACGTGCTCCTCACGTGGCCTAGCACGTGCTCCCTTGCACGTGCTTGCCAAGCTCCTTAAAGGCCACGTACTACACATATACATATCTACAGTTGCTCCCGTGCTCCCTTGAATAAACCAGACATTTTTATCGCTATCTCTTAGACCTTTGATCTGCTCTATCTACTTAAGTATACGCTTTTTGTTACTATAGTTAAAAGCCACACGCTTCTACGAGCTCCTTTTTAATTATCGTTAATACAATACAAACTGCTTCGGTGGTTGCAAGATCTATTATCGTCTTCTTTCTTTTCGATTAATAGAAGTTGTTCTCTCTTTTAACGCTCGGAGCGTTTAATAAGAGCTTTTCAAACCTTATTTTACTTTATTTACACTCCACTTCGAGCTATTACGATATATCACTTTAAAGCGCTTAACACTTTACGGACCGAGCGTTATAAGTCGATTAGTTTATCGACTATAAAGCCGTTGCGATAATGAAAAGCGTTTAAAAGCTTGCAGACCTTTATTCGAAAGAAACTTAGCCTTATATCTTTTCTTTAAAACCGCTAGCACTATTTACGATTAACGACTTGATCGTTAAAAAGAACGAGCGGAAAGATAATCTTATAAAAGAGTAGAAAGAGGCGCTTTTAGCTACTCGTAAAGACCGCTTAATGCTAAAGGGTGCGAGTTTTTAAGACGTTAAAAAAGAGTTTGCATATCGATCGAAAGAGTACTTTAAGAAAAAGGCGCGCTAGAGCGCTTTAAACTTTAAATACTAGTATATGCTAGAGTAAGTGAATCAGACGGTCTTAAAAGAGCTGTTACAGCTTTATAAGACTCGTCTGATTAAAGAAAAGGAGTTTTCATTTTAAACGCTAATAAAGTCTCTACGAGACTAGTACGCGAAGGACGACGAATCGACGAAAGAGCATGTGCGAGACGAATACCGTCGAATTCTCAACGAAAGAGCTACGAGGACTATTAAACTTCAGCAATAAATTCGAAATTAAGAGCTCGTGCACTTTAAAGCTATCGCTTTAAAACCCGAATTGCAAGACGTTATCGGTTCTCTTGCTATAAAAGATTTCTTAAGAGTAATTGCTTAAAAGTTGGACCTTGCTTAAAAGAGTCGCTACTTAAGTCTTATGGTCGACGCTATTAGTATAAGAGAAACTTCTAAGTTAAAAAGCTTAAGAGACTACGCAAAGATGTTTAAAAGGCATTTATAGCAAAAAGGAGCTCGTAAAAGTGTATTCGCTACACTCGGCGAGCTTTCGAAAAGAAAGGTTTGCCTTTACATACGTACTCACTCTTAGCAGCCTTCTTCTTGCGACCTATTAAGGCTTGCTTCTACTAGTCAAAACCCGAAGAATCTCATAGTGTCGGAGCAGAAGCTTTAAGCTATTAAAAAGCGATTCTCTATGCTTAGCTACGAAAAGCTGAAGGCGAGCTTAAAGCTCTTATAGAAGGATAGAGGTTTTATTAGCGAGGGCAGGTCCAAATACCTTGGAAGTGTAGCTGCTTAGGAAAGGCTACTTAAGAGCAGGTCTATAAGGGATTAGAGCCGCTCGCGCACGCCGGAAGAGTAGATTGGGCCGTAGCTTAGCGCTGCTAGAGGCTTATTGAAGCTTGGAAACCGTGTTTGGAGCTTGCGAAGGGGAGGTGTAGTATAAGGAATTTGGGACGCCTGCCTCAACTACAAGTTCTTTTATTTGAGTCGCTCTTAAGGGGTAGAGGTTTAAGTTAGCGAGTCTTTGCGACGGCAAGCGGACCCACCTTGCACCTTGCCTTAAAGACTATTGGCTGTTGCTACTTTAAGGAGGCTCGTTGCAGCTTACTAGCGCTAGCGTGCTCTTATTTCGTCTACCTTTTGTTTGAGAGCTTTTAAGCTCCGTTTATCTTTTAGCTAGATTTTCCTTAGGTTTTTTCTTTTGTTTTTTCCTTCTTTCTTTAAGCGAGCCCTTTGTCAGTTGAGCAGTCGCTTCGCAACTGGAGGGTGTGTTGCACAGTATGGTCCTTGCCTTACGTGCTCCTCACGTGGCCTAGCACGTGCTCCCTTGCACGTGCCTGCCAAGCTCTTTAAAGGCCACGTACCACACATGTACATATCTACAATTGCTCCCGTGCTCCCTTGAATAGACCAGACACTTCTATCGCCATCTCTTAGACCCTTGATCTGCTCCACCTACCTAGGTATACGCCCTCTGTCACCATAAAAGTCTATTAAGATCGTTTGCAAGAGCTTTTAAATGTAGTTCTTCTTAAGCCTTTTATTAGCGGTCTTAGTTTTAAAACTATTCGTTGTTAAGCTTCGTTACTATCTTTATAGTAGACTTCGTTTTTAATTTGATCTGCTCGATAGAAAGAGCAGGTTCTTTTACGCTAATACGAAGAGCTGCGTATTGTTCTATGTTAAGGCGCTTAATAAGGTATTTATAGTTCGTAATCCATTTTAAAAAGTCGCTACGACTTATAAAGTTCGTTTTGTTAATCAAGAGAACTTCTTTTACTTTGTCGTTTATTGTTATAGCAATTGATTTTGTGACTAGAGCTTTTGAAAATTGATTAGAGTTCTTAAGAGTAGTAAGTGTTGATTGTAAAGAATGAATATAATTGAAAAAGACAGATTGCAAAAATAAAAATTATAGCAAGGTAGCGTTAAAGTGATTTGCAGAATCCGCTCTCGATTAATTCGAAGGTTATTAAAGATTAATTGAATAGCTCGTAAGTGCGAATGTGGCTTTTAATTGTAATGCTAACTAGCACTAAGATCAAGAAGAGATTCTATAGATTAAATAAAGCTTAGTATATTCTATTTAAGAAGCTCGTTAAGATCTATATACATGTACTTAAGAGCTTTAGTGTGCTAAGGGCGCTACTAAGCGAGGTCACATGACATGTCACATGTAGCTTGGGTGGAACCATGCCTGTTCCGCACAACAATTATCGTAAGCGAAAGCGAGCTGATTTAAAAAAGTATTATAATCTTAATTGCCGAAGTCTTAAGCTAAAGCTAATTAAGTCAGAACTATTGCTTAAGGACCGGGTTCTATATTAAAGTAAACGTAATAGAATTGCGCAATAAGTCCGCTAAGAGCTTTACCGTCGACGAAAAGCTTAGCTTTAATTAAAAGAAGCTAAGTATCTTATCGCTAAACCGTATCGTTAAACTTATCGAGATCCGAAAGGACGCATTTGCGCTAGCGAAAAGCTATTCGTAATTGCTTTACGAGAGACTTTAATTAAGCGATTCTCGTAAAGGAAGAAGGGCCGTCGTCTTCGTAAAAGGATATAATAGAATAAAAAAGGCGTTTAAATGTCGGAAACGCTAAGAAAAAGAGTAGGGAAGAGAGTTCGTCTTGCAACCGAAGTGCAAAAAATTAAAGAAAGGAGCTCTTTTAAGTCGGAAGAGCTGAGGAAAAAGTGAGGTCGTAAAAAGGAACAATAATCTATAAGCAATAAAAAAGACCGTAAAGCACTTAACAAGTAACTCACTCCGTTCTTAACAATAATCAATAAGCCGTAATCTGTAACAATAAGCAATAACAATAAGTTGTAATACGACGACTTAATCGAAGGACTTTGTATAATATGACGAACTGATGAATTCTGACCTTAGAATACAAAGTAAGGAAAGGAAATAGGAAGCTCAGGGAGCTCAAGAAGGTCTATATACATAGCCACTGTGGCCACAAGCGCTAGGCCTGGATAGGTGATCAGCTGATGCAAGTAACAAGGCAGGCTGTCACAGGTGTGTTGTTAAGTAAAGTGTAAAGTGAGAGCGTGGTCCGTGTACAGTACACGGACACCTTATCTTTGGCACGCTCTTACTACAACCTCGCCCTTAATTCTTAGTCTTAGATAATAAAAAGTCAATCAATCACACTTATCAGAAGCTTCTTCGTGACTGCACTATCATCATCCAGATTGATACCAGTAATAAATAATAATACTAATGACTGGTACGAAAGATTCATGTAACATTGATTAACCATAGTGTATTCAAGCTGGGATTCCATTCGCCAGCTGAAAGGACAACGTCGCATTAGGGCGCGTAATCGAAGCGAGATCGGGGTACTTGGCCACCAGCAGATCGCTCACCAGCCGTCCAAAGACAATCGTCCCCCACGGATTCAGATGCGTCTTATCGCTGGCGGCCATGTTGTATACTTGGGCGGCCTAAATAAGAGGTCAGCATCTTCGTATCCGCTTCAACATGATCCTGCGCTACAGAGAAACAAGATTTGAGCTTCGGGATCTACCTCATTTCCAATGGCATTAACATAAGTGGTCGAGGCCAAATTCAGATCAATCATCCGCGTCCTGTCGCCCAGGGCTGCTGCCGCGGCACGAACGACGTTGGCTTCGTCAGCGAGGTTCTCAATGACCTTGCCTCCAGAAAAGGCGCGTCGAGTGAGCGGCGTGATCAGTATCTGGAATGTGTAAGTATAAAGCAGAATGCAAAATGCAGAATGCAGAATGGCTATTTTGGTCGGTCAAATGAAAATGAACAGCTGCGAACGTACAGGCGTCGCCCCCGCTGTCGTGATTTCATCGACGAACTTGTACACCGTTCCGTTGAATGCGGCCTTGTACTCCGGGACCTTCTGGTCGTTGTGGCCAAACTGGAAGGTCACAAACACCGATGCAGTGGATTTGTACTCTGCGATCTGGCGGAGGATCTGGCTGAAGTTGGAGCCCTGCAGGTATGTGGTCGAGATGGCACCGCTTGCGCCGTAGTTGAAGCCGAATGCCGCTGGCTCGAGCGTGTAGTTTAGAAATCCATCACCCCATCCTGTATATCTCATCTCAAATCAGATCAGAGCAGAATCCGCCTTACGGGCAGCAGAAGAGACATTACGTACCGCCTGGTTCATGGGTGGTCGAGTCTCCGGCGAGAAGGAAGACTGAGTCGGCAAGGACAATCGAGGCCAATGCCAGCACTTGAACGAATATATCTGGGATTGAGAGATGCATGATGAACAGATCCCGAAAGGTTTACAAATCTGGGGGGAGAGGGCAGTAATAGAAGGGATGTCTTCTATCTTTTACTTTCCCGCGAGTATCAGGATACCCACCAAGCGTCATTGATCCGGCACTGAGAATATGCGCGCCATTCATTTCTACGGAACAACAGTCCATTGATGGAATAATGCGGTGGCGAAAGCTAAACATGGTAGTATGTAGATATATATATATATATATATATATATATATATTACGTTAAAGGCAGGTAAGGGGTTATTTAAACCGTCAGCTGATTATCCGATGACGGTCTTTTAAAAGACGGTTTCAAGAGCTTAGTATAATTAGTGGATCACCTTAAGCCGATACTTAAGATTGAATAGAATTTGAAAACAAACGATTTAATTTATGATTAAACTGTCTTTTATAAGAGCTCGTCTTTTCGTTAAAACATTATTACTAAAATAAAATCGTTTTGATCGATGAATTAGTCGTTTATAAAAGTCGGTCTTTTTACGAAAAGATTGTTTCCGAGCGTTGTAAGACTATTTTAAGACCGTCTTATGGCCGTCCCAAGGCCGTCGACGAACTCAAAACCGTTTCGAAAACGTAAATTAATAAGCAAATAATTTTTCTATTACTTGCCAGTCTACCTTTTACTACTTACACCCCCTTACGTATTACACCACCCTTCATACTATAGTCGAAGGAAGCGCAATCGCGCGGATAAACTTTTACTGAATCGATCGATTCCGATTATAAAAAATTTAAGTCGTTAATATATAAGCCGTAGCAGCGATACCGAGAAGTATCTTAGCATCGAATTTATTAAATTATTATTAAAACAATTCCATTTGAGAAATGATTTTTATTTACAACTATATCTTCTTTAAAATAGCTATCGAATTATTTCAATTTTTTAACACGAGCTTATTAGTAAGCCTGTTTCAAAAATATAGACGAGGATAGCCACGGGACGGCTATGAAACGGTCTCTTTCAACGGGACGGTCTTCTCGGTAAGGTATAAGCGGTCCAATGGCCGTCTCTTATAAAAAAGGGTCAGAGACTACCTTCTAAGGTACTTTAAAGGCAGGTAGGGGGTCATTTGAGCGGTCCTCTGACCCTCTTTTATAAAAGACGATTATTAGACCGTTTAAAATCAGTACTAGTTACAAATCAAGAATAGTTCACCTTTTTGATCGTCCCTGAGCTTAAGACCGTCTTACGGCCGTCTTATGGCCGTCCCCGTCTATATTTTTAAAACAAGCTTATTAATAAGCTCGTTTAAAAAATTGAAATAGTTCGATAATAATTTTAAAGAAAATATAATTATAAATAAAAATCGTTTTTTAAATAAAATCGTTTTAAGAATAATTTAATAAATTCGATGCTAAGATATTTCTCGGTATCGCTGCTACGGCTTATATATTAACGCTTTAAATTTTTTTTAATCAGAATCGATCGATTGAGCAAAAGTTCACCCGCGCACGTTGTGCTTTGTATCACTTGCTAAGAGGGAGGGGAGGGGGGGTAATAGAGGGTAGACTGCTATGCAATTGAAAGAAAATACAAATTATTTGCTTATTAATTTACGTTTTCGAGGACGGTTTCAAGTTCGAGGACGGCCTTGGGACGGCCTTAGGACGGCTATAGGACGGTTTTAAAACGGTCTTTTCATAAAAAGACCGACTTTTATAAACGATTATTTAATCGATTAAAACCGTTTTATTTTAGTAATAATCTTTTTACGAAAAGACGAGCTCTTATAAAAAACGATTCAATCGATTGAAATAGTTTTATTTTAGCTACGATTTAAATATTTTAAATCGTTTATTTTCAGATTCTATTCAATTTTAAGTATCGGCTTAGGATGATCTACTAGCTATGCCAACCTCTTAGAATCGTCTTCTAAAGAGACCGTCATCGGATTGTCAGCTGACGGTTTAAATAACCCCCTACCTGCCTTTAAGGTATGCACGAAATTGCATGTGGTCGGGGGAATTCAAGGCGAGGAGAATGAATTGTACAGTAATAAGTATCTTGGCGATTGGCTCGCTTACACATAACCTGACCGAAAGGAGACAAGACTCGGGGAGGGATTACGCTGTCACGGGAGCACTCACGTGGACTGCATTGTCGAAATATATTCCCGGATTGTAGTTTATCAAATAGCATTTGTCTATCTCTGATGGGATTTATACCCAAAAACTCTGATTGAATTTGCCAGAACCCGAATCCTCATCTCCCCGCGTGATGTGAGACGGTGCTCCTCCCGTTCCGCGTGACATGCCACGCCCCGGTCAGAAATCGCGGATTCTTTAACTGCCCGTCGTCCCCAACCTCCAACACGCCGACCTCTTCTCCCTCGGAATCGACAATGCTCGCCGTGGTCCCGGGCTCGGTCTGATACAGGCAGACTTCCACGCCCTGCGCGTAATCATAGACCGTTCTCGCCTCGTGCCACTTCCCCAGAACCAGGATCGTGTTTTCTCGGACATACAGAGGGAGCGTGTCGAACTGGTGCTGCTCTCGAAACCATCCCGGTCCGACCGTGGTCTGGTTGGTGAAGAAGCTCGTCCACTGTCCTCTCGGGAGGTAGAACTCCACCTCCCCAGACTCTTCGAAGACGGGGGCAACCAGCAGGCCATCGCCAAACATGAATTGCCGGTCCAGATACCAAGAGGTCGGATCCTCGGGGAACTCCAGACACATCGCCCGGAGAGACAGCGGCAGGCCCAGGTCAACCGCCTTCTGGGCTTGCGCAGAGATGTAGGGCATCAGGCGGCCTTTCAGTGCGGTCCATCTCGACAGCGTGGCGGAACAGCCTTGCTCGCTGGAATCATCGCCATCGACCGTCCAGGGCACGCGGAACGAGTTGCTTCCGTGCAGACGGCTGTGCGAGCAGAGGAGTCCAAAGGCAACCCAGCGCTTGTAGATCCACGGCGGTGGGGAGCCCTCGAACCCGCCGATATCCACGGACCAGAAGGAGAAGCCGCAGAGACCGAGGGAGAGGCCTCCGCGCACCGACTCGGCCATCGCTTCGGCCGTGGATTCGCAGTCGCCGCCCCACTGGAGGGGAAACCGCTGCGTCCCGGCCGTCGCGGTCCGCGCGAACAGGACGGCCTCGTTCTCGCCGAACCGATCCTGGATGGCTTCGTAGACCACCTTGTTGTACAGGAAGGCGTAGTAATTGTGCATCTTCCCCGGGTCCAGCGACGCATCAAACCACTCCACGTCGAGCGTCGGGATCCGCTCTCCAAAGTCCGTCTTGATGGCGTCGACTCCCTTGTCAAAGAGCCTCTCGAGGCAGCTCACATACCAATCGCATGCGGCGGGGTTGGTAAAGTCCACGATGCCCATTCCCGTCTGCCAGAGATCCCACTGGAAGATGTCCCCGTTCTTGCGGCGGAGGAGGTAGCCTTTGCTCGCGGCGTGTTTGAAGACCGGGGAGGCTTGGCCCAGGTACGGATTGACCCAGACGCAGACTTTCTTCACGAGCCCTACATAGATAGTTGTTCAACAAAAACACTCCATCGTTCTTTCGCGGAACCAACGTACCGGAAGCTTTGAGACGTGCAATCTGCGCCTTTGGATCGGGGAACATCTCCGAGTCGAAGACGAAATCACACCAGTGGAATGCTCGCAGCCAGAAACAGTCAAAGTGGAAGACTTCCACCGGGATATCTCTCGCCCTCATGCCCTCCAGGAAGGAGTTCACCGTCTCCTCGTCGTAGTCGGTCGTAAAACTGGTGCTCAACCACAGCCCGTAACTCCAACTCGGCACCTTGCCGGGCTTCCCAGTGAGGACCGAGTATTTCTGCAGCACCTCCTTCGGTGTCGGCCCGTGGATGATGTACCTGATTCCATCAACGAAGTCTCTTCAAACATCAGACATGGCGGTAACATCCGCGTTACTCACCATTTCAATCGCTGTCCCTCGACACTCGTCTGAACCCGGCAACACCTCTCACTGCCGACCTCCAATTCAACCCTGTCCGGCGTGTCGATGAAGATTCCATATCCGCGCGAGCTCAACCAGAATGGGAGATTCTTGTACGCCTGGTCACTCGACGTGCCCCCGTCCGCGTTCCACAGGGCGATTGCCTGCCCGACTTTATTGAAAGCGCCAAACCTCTCTCCAAGTCCATGGACCGTCTCGCCGACCGACAGGGTGGACTGAGTAAAGATGTAATGCCGAATCCGGGCCATGTCCCCCGTCTGCAGATCGTTTCCGGGCGGCGGGCTGTATGCAAAGCCCACGCTCCGATTCAATAGCGAGGTCAATTCCTTGGACCCGTCCGTCGCGTGGAATCGGATATCAAACTCGTGGCTGCGAGTCTTGACCGTCGCAGATAGTGAGCCAGACTTGAGCGTGGTTGAAGACGCCGTCTTTGAGATCCCGGCATCGCTGTCTTTGGGCTTTCCAGCTGGATAGAGATCGAAATGGGGTCCTGGATTGAGAGCCCCGAGCCAGTGGGTAGTTTCGACTGAGATGACCCCATCGAAGGGGGCTCTGATGTCCTTTCTCGAATTAGAGTGGAGCGGGAAGAGAGAGGGCGCCTTACGACAGTGAGCGTTGGGAGGTTCAGCGAGTCTGCTCGCTGGAGAACCTTCCTCGTTGGACAGAGAAGACTTAGGGCATTGCCTGCTGGGTGCTCCTGGATAGAGTGGACCTCCTCGGCGTAGATGGGCTTCTTGTCCTCGGCCACCAGCCACATCCCATCGCGGAACCTCATGGTTTGCTAGGCGATTCTAAGAATTATCTTGCTAGAGACCTGTCTGTATTATTTAGCTCTATCTAATAGAGAGAAAAACCTTAGAGAACGAAGCGAGCAGCGTGTTTGTATCCCGACAGTTCAAACATACATCGATTTAAAGGGCATATTATATATCCTTTGTTGAGCGATAACGGTGATCGTCCATTGGATATCTTGAAAGGGCAATATATGTATATCCTCGTATAATATAAGAGGTGGGAAGGGTGGCATGATATGGTGGGCGATGCGGGATACTCGTGCTGCAGGTCCCCGTCTGCATAGACCGAATCGAGTTTTCAGAAAAAAAATATAAATAATGAATTGAGTCAATTTATCTCACTCAGAAGACGATTGGTATTTCCGATCTGTTTGTCCTTATCTCAATAAGCATGCTTTAAGATAAATTAACTATCTGCTCTAAGATATCGATCTATCGATATCGGAAAACAATACAATTATAAAGAGAATTGTAGATTGAGCATTAATCGAGATACAAGTAGCGCGATAGTTTAGTTTACTCAAGTTGGCAGCAGGCCAGGGCAGGCCGCAAGAAACCTATCTGATTGCCCTCATCATATTTTTCATTGGACCGCCTAATAAATTACGACGGGAACCGGCGGCCTGGAGAAATGAGATCCGGGGCAAATGGATAATGTATACGCGAGAATATTATTCCGTCTTCCGTTCTTCAGTTCGTACGGGTTACCGATCTCATTTTCTGATGATATCAAAATCCCCCTTTTTTTTTCCGCTCGCTAAAGAGGCCCCGAGTTACCGAGCACTGCGCCTCCTTTCAAGAAATTCTGCAATGTCGAGAAGGGGCTTGGATTCCAGCCAGCCAGGCTCAGGCAGCTCGTAGGAAGGAATGAGCGTATGGAAATAATATATTCTAAGCTATTCAAATAAACAAGAGAGTCTGAAAAGTCCAGACTTAAAATGCTAGCGTTCTAGGAGTGTAAATACGAAAGGCATACGAGGTCCTGACTCCTGTAGTTGTTGTTGTTGTTGTTGTATTTATTAACGTCGGGCGGGTATCCAAAACGCAATGCTTGGACCCTAAGGACCTCTCATAAGGTACGGCGACGTGCTAAGTAAAGGAATTATATACAAAGTACTATCTAATCGAGAGTAAAAACCACGTTAAGGAAAACCTTTCGTCAAATAGCTGGACACTTGTAAACCCTTTAAAAGCAATTCATAGTGATGTGCGTCGAGTTTTCTCTCGACAACTGTCGAATACGTATAGCCTTACGGGCGGCCTCGATCCGTATAGTACAAACATCGTTCTCTTTCGTCGTAGAGCTAAGAAGGCTCGCGTTCGTAGCTCTTAAATAGAGCCGGTGTGTTTATAGAACGCTCTTTCGAAAGCGCAGTACCGTGTTTTCGATCAATCGAACTAAGCTCTTCTTATCTTATCTCTTATACACGTTCCCCTTTTATCGCAAATCCTCTTGGTCTTTTCAGTCGGTATGCCCGTCAGGTATAGATCGTAGTCGGCGTGGTATTCGAGAAGAAGGAGGAGGGAGGTTCGGAATCGCCGGTAAAAGAAAATCTCTTCGAGGAGACGTCGCATGTCGATGATTCAATTTCGGCTCTCTAGACTCTTTATCTCTCTTTCTACCGCAAGAGAAAGAAAGAAAAAGAGCTGAAGGTTCGTAGGGGGCACCTCGTACAAGTAAAGAATCGTAGCCCCCCTGACTCTTGTATAAGATCTGAAGAGTTTAAGATTAATTAGTTGCTTGCTTAAAGTCAATATAAGAAGCCTTTTTAGGCCTTACATAGACTATTAAATAGTTCTAGAGTATTATGGTCCTAGCAATATCGTGGTCTTTTGATCTAATGGCCGAGTGGCGCGAGTTCTATTCGCAGTCGTGATAAGAGTATGCAGCTGTACGGTGAGCTCTGACTCTTTACTTACGTTTGGTTCCCGGCGTTGCAGCTTTTATCCACTTGCACGACTAATATAGGAATAAGAAACCTCTATAGCTTTGCCACTTGTATGTTTACTAAAAATGCAAGTAGGTTGAGGCGGCTTTTGCTAAAAAGCGTGACATTCGTTGCCGAGGTTCTCTATTCTTAGCTAATATATATCTAACTCGAATTTTACGATAAGCTCTTTTTTTTTTGGGTTGCATATCGCAGTTTTCAAGATACGGCTTTATCAGCCTTATTAAAAGCTCAATTTTTTTTTTAAAAAAAAAAAGTAGCCCGTGCACTTCTATACAGATGACGCGTCTTTATTGAAAAGTGAAATAAAATGATCTGTTGGATCGCCGGTAGCGATCGTTCGTCACTTCCTATCACTAGCGTGCAGGGCACGTAGCTTCTTGCAATTGCAAAACAATAGGTAAAAGTGGTACTTGATTTCTGTGTACTCCTTAAGGTTCAAGGGAGCTGACTCCTTCTGTACGATCAGAAAGAATCACGTGCACTAGCTATTGAATAGTATTTACATCGAAGTTGAAGGTTCCCTAAGAGCGTGGCACGCTAAGCGAGGTATGCCTATCCGTGCCTGTTGTTATTGTTGTTATTGTATTTATTACCGTCGGGCGGGTATCCAAAGCGCAATACTTGAACCTTAAGGACCTTTTATAAGGTACGGCGACGTGCTAAGTAAAGAAATTATATACAAAGTATTATTTAATCGAAAACAAAAACTACGTTATACAAAAGCTTTCCCTTGTTGTTGTTGTTGTTGTTGTTGTTGTTGTTGTATTTAAAAAAGCTTTCCCTTGAATAGCTAAATATTATATAAACTTTTTAAAAGCAATTCATAATGCTATGCGTCGAGTTTTCTTTCGACAACTATCGGATACGTATAGCTTTACGAGCGACCTTGGTCCGTATTGAATAAATATCGTTCTCTTTCGTCATAAAGCCAGAATAGCTCGCGTTCGTAGCTTTTAAATAAAGCCGATATATTTGCAAAACGCTTTTTCGAAAGCGCAATACCGTGGTTTCGATTAATCAAATTAAGCTTTTCTTATCTTATCTTTTATACCCGTTCCTTTTTTATCACAAATTCTCTTAATCTTTTCAATCGGTATGCTCGTTGAGTAGGTATAAATCGTAGTCGGCGTAGTATTCGAGAAAAAGAAACAATGATATTCGGAACCGCCGGTAAAAGGAGATCTCTTCGAAATGACGTCGCATATCGATAATTTAATTTCGGCTCTTTAAACTCTGTGTTTCTTTTTCTATCGCAAAAGAAAGAAAAATAAGAAAGCTGAAGGTTCGTAAGAGGCACCTGATACAAGTAAAGAATCGTAGACCCCTCCATCCGTGCCTGAGATACCCGAACTTATTATATTACCCCCAACTACTTCGGATCGATATTAGTATACCGACATGATCCGCGCACGCATACTTACCAGTATACAACGCGTCGACGCGCCCTGGTACTTATTGTTACAGCCGGCGGCCGATACGTGATATATATGCCAAGATACTTGGCCGAATTAGGCTTAGCTGTAGGACATGTTCCGTCCGGGCCGATCCTTTCCGAAATCTAGAATTACTTGCCGACATTTCTCTTAGCGCTGCTCACAAATCTTATGCAAGCCTGTATAGAATAAATAGTCTTACGTGATTGGATGATTCATCACTATCATAACCCTTGGAACTTATCTTGGGCTACCGTTGGTGATAATAAAAGCAATTGCGAAGACACAGTTCTTCGAAAGAGAAGGGTGATACTGCGGTCTCAATAGGTCTTGGCATAGTTTTAAGCATTGGTTATAAGGTTGATTAGCCGAGGTCATATGATATCCCGCTTTAAAGGATGTATATGCTTTCGGCCTTATATCATAGTTCTTCCTTCCTCGTCTTTCTTTTGCACTACGTAGCATACGTTTGATAGCTATTATAATACTATTCTTACTAGCCGTAACATAGAGCCTTTTATATGACTCATAAAATACGTAACAACAGTATTAAGTAAGTTGACGTAAATGGCAAGCAGCTCACGTAATTTCAAAACGAGCTTGGGAGTGATTCTACTTGCATACGTATAATGCAAATAAGAATATTTTATGGAGTTTTGAAATATCTCCCCCTCTTCCTTTCGCCTTCCTTATTCCTTCTTTTTGCATCCTTTGCTGCTTTCCCGGCTTCTTTTGCTTCTTCTTCTTCTTTTCTGCCTCCTTTGCTTGCTCTTCCCTCTCTTTCTTTCCCTCCTGCTCTTCATCTTTTTTTCATTCCTTTCATTTCTTTCTCCCTTTTCCTTTTTCTCTTTCCTCTTCTCTTTCGGGCTTTTCCTTTAGACCTCTTATTCGCTTAGCTTACTATGCCCCCTTATGAATACATATCGGACCCATTTTAGCTCCATAAATCGAAGAGCGGTGATTTCTGAGTTGCTTAAAGCCTTATCAACTCCATTGCACAAAATTAATACTTGCTCAAAGACACTTGATAAGGCTGAATGAATGTTTATCGGTGTAAGACCTGATAAGATCCCTTGCAAAATTATACTTTCGATATGTATTCATAAGGGGGGAGCATAAGCTCGATGAAGTCGGTGAGGTTGGTAATATTAATAAGGTTAGTAATATCGGTGTAATATCGATAAGGTTTAAAAAAGATCCGCAAAGCTCGTTAACATTGAAAAAACCCAAGAAAGAACGAAAGTCGAAAAGTAATAAGTTTCATAAAAATTGCGTTCTGTATGATTTTAAGATTTTGCTACCCGTCATGACGCGCACTTTTAACCGACTAGTCGATTCCATTCGCCTAAAAAGGTTATTTGCATTTTTTCATAGGGCCATATTCCCCTTTATAAAGGAAGGAGCTCTCCGTAACTACAATGCTCAATCCAGAGTCAGTCCGAATATTCCTGTATATTCTGGTAGGTCACCTGACCTCGCTCAGAATACTCTGGACAGAGGAATTATTATAAATCAGCATCCTGAATTCTTTTCTCATCAACTTCCACACTCATTCCAAAGCCTTCTCGTCACTCCTTCAGCTCATCATGAAGCTCCTCTTCCCCACGGCATCATGTTTGCTTTTTGCAGTTATCAGTGCTGCGACCACCCCTCTCTACAAGGACCCCTCGGCGAGTATCGATGACAGAGTCGCAGACCTGCTGTCCCGAATGACAATCGAGGACAAGACCGCGCAGATGGTGCAGGGAGATATTGGTAACTGGGTCGACATGACCACCAACGTCTTCAACGCCACGGGCCTCGCCTGGAACATGGCCAACCGAGCCGGCCAATTCTACGTTGGATACCCTTCTCCCCAACAATGGATCAGCGAAGGCATCAAGAAGGCTCAAGAATACCTCGTGCACAACACCACTCTCGGTATCCCAGCGCTGGTCCAGAGCGAAGGGATACACGGCTTCCTCGCCCGTGATGCGACCATCTTCAACTCGCCCATCGGCCTGGGCTCCTCGTGGAATCCGGGCCTGATCGAGAAGATGGGCGCGGCGATCGCGCAAGAGGCGCTCGCTCTGGGCGTGAACCAGATCTTTGCTCCGGTTGCGGATCTCGCGCGAGAGCTGCGTTGGGGCCGCGTGGAGGAGACGTTCTCCGAGGATGGCTTCCTCAGTGGAGAGATGGGCTACTCGTACATCATAGGCAAGTTTTTTCCTTCCTCTGCGGAACGATTCGAATTTGAATCGGAATCGGATGGGAGCTGACAGGAATTGGCCGAACCCAGGGATGCAGGCGAACAACGTGAGTGCGATGGTGAAGCACTTTGCGGCATTCGGGAGCCCCGAGCAGGGACTCAATGTCGCTCCGACCCACGGAGGTGAGCGGCAACTCCGTACGACGTATCTGCCTTCGTATAAGAGACAGATCATGGATGCGGGTGTCTACGCGATCATGTCTGCCTACTCGTCATATGATGGTGTCCCCATGGTCGCCAACTACCACGTTCTGACGGAGATTCTGCGAGAGGAGTGGGGATACCAGTATTTTGTGACGACTGATGCAGGAGCAACGGATCGTCTCTGCAATGCTTTTAAGGTAAGTGTTCTGATAGTAACCTTTCTTCTTGTTTCAAGTGTCTCAAGAACATCCTTTGATATCTAAATTGTTCCTGGGATGTTCCAAAAACATTCGCTTACCGACCTTCTCTCCTTTGCAAGATGTGCCGAGAAAGGCCAGTCGACAAGGAGGCTATAACGCTCTATGTAAGTTTCCTGCTCTTTCATCTGGGCTTGGCTGATTAAGGAGGCATTACCTGCCGGTAACGACGTGGAGATGGGTGGGGGATCCTACAGCTATTCCAACATTCCCGAACTGGTCGAGTCCGGGAAGCTCGACATCGGTATCGTCGACGAGGCCGTCTCCCGGCAGCTGAGAGCGAAGTTCGCCATGGGTCTCTTCGAGAACCCCTATATGGGGCTCTCAGCCAACTTGACCGCTACGAAAATCCATACTCGGGAGAATATTGCTCTGGCGCGCGAGATAGACGCCGAGTCCATCATCCTTCTCGAGAACCACGATGACGTTCTCCCGGTCTCCAAGGATGCTCACGTGGCGGTCATTGGCCCTATGGCTCACGGCTACATGAACGTACGCCAAATCCCCTTGAGCTCTCCCGACCGACCGACACTTTGCTGACCTGGTAACCTGATAGTATGGCGATTATGTTGTGAATGGAAGCCAGTACCGAGGGGTGACTCCGCTCGATGGTATCAGGGCCGCAAGCAGAGGAGGTTCGGACTAATTTTCGTCCCCTTTCATTGAGAATCATTTGCCGTCAGCTGACCAAATAAACAAACAAACAGTGGTGACATACGCTCAAGGCTGCGAGCGATGGTCCAACGACCAGTCCGGATTCGCAGAGGCCGTCAGCATAGCATCAGCGGCCGATGTAGCTGTCGTCGTCGTTGGAACATGGTCGGTAGGTTGGCAGACGCTCCCTTTTGACTCGCATCCCAACTGATCAACTTGCCCACCCAGCGCGATCAGTACGAGCTCTGGTCCGGCCTCAACGCCACAACGGGCGAACACATCGACGTCGCCTCGCTCAACCTCGTCGGCGCCATGCCGCACCTGGTCCGAGCCATCATCGACACGGGCAAGCCCACCATTGTCGTCTTCTCCTCGGGGAAGCCCATCACAGAGCCCTGGATCTCCACCGACGCCTCGGCTCTCATCCAGCAATTCTACCCGTCCGAAGAAGGGGGTAATGCCCTCGCCGACATCCTGTACGGAGACGTCAACCCCAGCGGGAAGCTGTCCGTCGGATTCCCGTACGACGTCGGCACGCTGCCCATCTACTACGACTACCTGAATTCCGGCCGCCAGACTAACCCCGGGATGGAGTACCCCAACGGGACGCTCGACTTCGGGTCGAGCTACGTGCTCAACACGCCGGCACCCCTCTACGAGTTCGGGTTCGGCAAGTCGTATTCCACTTTCCAATACTCGGATTTCAAGCTCTCCCAGACCACTGCCACCGCCACCGACACCATCACGGCCTCCGTCACGATCACGAACCAGTCTGCGCGAGACGGTAAGGAGGTGGTGCAGCTCTACGTCAAGGATCTGATCGCCAGCGTTGAAGTACCCAACATCCAGCTGAGGGGGTTCTCTAAAGTCTTGGTCAGGGCCGGGGAGTCGGTCTCGGTCGAGATTCCGCTGAAGGTCCACGATTTGGGGTTGTGGGACTTGAGGATGAAGTATGTCGTTGAGCCTGGAGATTTCCTGATTTTAGTCGGGAGCTCGAGTGCGGACTTTAGGGCAAATGCTACGCTCACTGTATCGTAGGTAACGCGCCCAACACGGTCCATTTCCCCTCCCGTCTTCATCAAGGTAAAGACAAATTTATGTGGACGTGGTTGTCGAAGTAGATTTGTCCGGTTGATGGATTGTTCGTAGCCCAAACAAACAAGCATATCAAGCGAACTAAGGATGCTCGAAAGTGCAATTTAATCAAGTAGTTAAAATGCACTAGAGCGTTCGAAAACCAATTTCATCAGTTAGTTTGGCTGCAACTGCAGAATGCTTCTGTCTATCCAACTCCTGTCAATACCCTGGCCCGAATCCAAACCCATGGAATGCATACCTACATCGCCTCACAGCGACTTCTCTACCAAGTATCCGGCCCAAAATGGTGCCCCTCAGGCACAGCCTTGTAAGGACAAGCATTCCAATCACACCCTCTCTTGTACACCTCCGTCCCCCACCATGTAAACCCTTCCATCAGTCCTGGATACACAAACCCGAAGAAAACAACCACCACGCCAAATGCCAATCCAGAGTCCAAAGCCGCACTCAATGTCATCGTGTACTTGGCCCACCACTTTCCTGCCCTGCGCTTGATCACATGATTGAAGAGGTAGCAGACCAGCGCCCAGACGGAGAAGTTCAGGCCGGTCGCAGGCGGGATCCAGGTGAGGGAGCCGAGGAGGACGGGGAGGTTGATTTTTCGGAAGATAGAGCCCTTACGGTTGCGAGCGTAGAGCCAGAGGATGATGGGTGCGATGGCGCCGATGGGGAAGGCCCAAACCAGAGAGTGATAGGTGGCGTTGGGGCCGAAGAATTCCATGGGACCCACGGCGCCCCAGAGGATGCTTCCGTTGAAATGTACACGCGCGAAAGGACAGACGAAGCCGTTGGCTGCTTCTGGTGTGCAGATATTCGGCACATTTGCGAACATCCAGTTTAGAACGAGGATTTGGGTGCAGGAAGACACGACTGTGGCGGCAACCTGTACTGTGAAGAGGGTGCGGGGTGGAATTTTCATGTAGTGGCCGAGTTTCAAATCGGCGGAGAATTTCAATCCTTGAGTGGATGAGATGTAGCCGTAAGTCACAAACACCATGTTTGCTACTGGGCGCCCGGGAAAGACAGCACCGCAAACGAGCTGGCAGACCAAGTATATACTGCTTTGCTGGTTCGTGATGGCCATTACAATACCAATTGGGATGAAGAGGATGGAGCAGATTCCAAGGGCAAGAAGAAGACCATACCATGGGAGATGGACCGGGTAGCTGAGAATGTTAGTTGGCAGGATAGTAGGAAGGCAGAGTAGTAGGCTTACTATTCAACCACGAACATGCCCACCGCGGCCATGCTCACAAACGTCATGAGGTACCAACTCATCGGTGCATCTTTGTACCTTCTCATCAGTCGGTTGTGGACATCCTCCTGACTGATGATATTGTCTAAATTCGAGGCGGATCTCCTCAGACGTCCATGGATAGCACCTTCGTGCCCATTCACTGGCTTGTAGGTGGTCTTCGACTCCCCTCCAACTTCCTTCAAAGATCGGCTCCATTGCTTCCAAATGTCCTTCCCGTGCCAACATGCAGTGTGTGACAGCAGAGATGCCAGAGCAGCGAACTGTAATCCGTAGCTGAGGGCATACGTGATGGGTAGATACACTCGACTATACTTATGATACGCTTCACTATCGAAAAGGAAGTCTGGGGTCAAGATTCTACTGACATCGTAAATATTGCCGGTATTATCGAAAACGGCCGAAGAGATGATCGGCATATGAGACGAGAAAAACAGATTCTTGTAATATGCGAGAGGCGCCAGGATCCACATGAAAATGACCAGACCTCCCATGACGTTCATAGCCGCCCAGAATGGAGTGAGAAGCGGAGAGCCGATGTAGGCAATCTGGGCCCAGTCGAATGTCACTGAAAACACTCCGAGTCCTGAAGCCACCCCAAAGAGATTGGCTACCACCACATTCTTGGGGAAGAACCATGTCACGACCGAGAAATAGCTCAATGCTGGCATGAGGAGTCCTGGGAGGAAGTAGAAGGCGAACGAGCCCGCCCACACAATGAAGAAGAATCTCCACCGCGTAATCTTCCAGCCATTCGCAATCGTGTTCTCCTCTTTGTGCAAAGTGGTAAACATGGACGCTGACATCAAGGTCCCCGGCCAGATCATGCCTCCCGGGCGGACCAAGAACCTCCTGGTAAGTCCGGCAAAAGTGTATCCCAGGATCTGCGTTGACAGGGTAAGAAGCAGCTGGTATGTGATGCTGACTTTCTGGTTGTAGAAATGCGTCTGCTCCACAATCACATCCGTAGCAAAGGCAAACCCGAAGGAAATATTGCTGCTGATATACACACAGGTATGCTCCTTCTCGTTCCACCTCCCTTGGCCCAGCCATAAGCGTAGGCGTCTAAGTCTCCCGTCGTCTGGCTGCCGGTATGTGTTGTTTTCGTAACTCGTCTCGCTTGCAACTCTAATTCCATCCAAAAATTCCTCGCTGGGGTCATCTCGTCGTTTCAATATTCGGTCCCATAATAGACCGAGGGGATGGACAAGTAGCAATGCAATAACGGGCGTAATAGAGACGCTGGGGTATCGTAAAGAAAAGAAAAGATTCGCGGAGGAACCGAGCACTGCGAAGAGGAGGGAGAGCACCCACATCCGGGGGGTGTTGATCGACAGGGTCGTGTTGTCTACTGCAGAGACAGAGGCCCGGACCTGGGCGTAGGCCGAGTTGTCTGGGGGGTCTTCGTCGTCGGTGGTCGAACCGTCGGCGTCGTTTATTGCATCCTCGGACGAGTCTGAAGGCTGTTCCTGCTCGGTGCCTGGTATCGGAATTCCCTTGCTTGGCTTCCTTTCCAGCATGGGATGATCCTCGCTCTCCTCGTCGTCGGAACTCAAGAGATGCCTCGCATTCGGGGACTTGCGCTGAGAGCATCCCGACCTGTTTGTCTTCAAGGTCCCGGAACTGAGAGCATTCCTCAGGCCCGAACGTTCCCTTCTGTAATTCTTCGTCCTCACATCATCGATGTCGTCGTCGCTCCCATCCGGCGACGCGCCGATGGGCACGGCGCCATACGAGCCCGTCCCAAAGCCCGGCGCAGAGCGCAGCAGCAGCGGCACCTTGGACATCAGTCCTAAGAATGATCGGAAGGGGTTGGGGTATTCGCTATGGGGCTCCACCTCATCGTCGGCCTCTCTGTGTCGTCGGAGGAGGGCAGCGTCAGAGTCGGGGTCGAGGTCGAGGCTGCTGTTGTTGCTGTCGTTCTTTTGGTCTTGGGGCCCATGGGTTGAGGAGGAGGGAGGATAGGCAGACAGTGGGAAACCTCTGCCTTCTATAGCAGTATCATGGTCAGACTGGGTATGGGGTGTCGGGGAGAGAGTTTTGAATGTAGCGCGAGATGGCATCTGTCTGCAGGGACGAGGCTGTACGTGTTCTGGAGGGCTCGGGCTTTTCTGCAAGGCGAAGAGGCTGGCGAGCGAGGGGCAACGGCAAAGGGCAAGGGGGCAAATTAGCAAAGGGCGGTCGGGATCAGGATGATAATAATAGGTACAGCGAATACGAAAGATAGACGCAGATAGATACCTATTTAAGGCTTGTAGATCCAAAAGATAGCAAGTAAATAGATAAAAAAAATTGTAAATTCGGTAGGACGGTTTGTCTGGTTACGATTGAAGCATCGACCGCGTTTACCGCGGCTGTTTCTCTTGCCGATATACAGCCCTTATCTGATCAGATTATACTACGTAACTAAGCATTTTACTACTCTGTACAGTTTCTCCGTGTCTTGCCTTATCGTCATATTGCGTTATTGTACAACTTGGCTTTCTCGTTCTGCTATGCCGCTTATACTCACCTCAGAACCTCAAACCATCTAATCAAAAAACTACGCGAACTGCAATCATAAATACATACAGAACTACCCCAAGACTTAAATATACGTCTCCATACTTTGCCTATCTGTACTCTCCATGCCAGTGGCTGGTTACTCGTGGCAAGTCTATTCCCTAGCCTGGGTATCGCTGCAATAACAGCGTATAGCAGCACAGTCTAATCAAATCCACGAAATTCTTTCTCTTTTTCTTGTCCGTTTCCTTCTCTTTTCCTCGCTGCGCTGGCACGCAAGCCATCAAGTTCATTCAGCCTCCGTCATTATTCAGACCGCTCGCTGATCTGGGACCAGCCTTGCAGCGGTTCGGTTGTTTCGGTTGTTTACTTATCGCGTATCCATCACAACCCTTCCCGGTAAGCGAAGAAGTAAGAGAGAGAAAGAGCCCGCGAGCCAATATAGACAATTTCTTCATGCTTGCACGGGAATAAAAAGCAACGTTTCGAAACCCCCCCCTCCCATCTTCTTCCACTTTGGGCTCCTACTTGATACAGATTATCTGCTCTCCGAATCCCGGCTTCGTCCGAATCCCCCGAATCCCGGCTTCGGACTATTAGGTATACATATGCCATCACCACCAAGTCAAGTCCTTTGAAATGGATAATGCGACATGATCAAAACGACTCCCCCATGCTCAAACTCCCCTGACTCCCCCTCCCACTCAAGCCAAGCACGCTCTCGCTACCACTCCGGATCCGGACCTTCCGCATCCCTATCCCCATGGCCCTCCCCTCGTCGACAGCAGGATGCGCGGTATCATCTGGACGGTCGCAGAGATTCGGCGTAGGATTCCCACTTGGTCTTCTCCTCCACAACTTCGCCGGCCTCTCACTTACAGTCCTCCAGCAATCCCTGCACACCCCCGAGCTGGTCCAGAAGTAGATGACCGCGTTCCAGAAGCCCTGCAGCGGCAACACCAGCGCCGCCGCAACGTTCAGCCCGAAGCTCGGTCTCGCCGGGTACCGTAGCCCGTGGACGCGGTTAACGGAGGCCGGGACCCAGGTGAGGAGGATGGAGATAGCGAAGAGGAGGGCGCAGCGCGTGTAGGCCCACTTGATCTTGTCCATAGTGGAGGGGCGCTTGGGCAGGTGCGGCTGCGTTGCGCAAGCTCGCGGAGAGCGGCGGGCTGGGGGCGACGAGATAATGGTGATGGTACAGGGGTCTGGCGGCGGGCAGGGCGGGTTCTCGGTGCTGAGAGGGGGAGAGACGGAGTGGGGGGGGCAATGGGATGTTGAGGACGGTGGAAGGGGGAAGGGATGTGACCACGGGTCGGCGGTGCGGGTTACTTGGATTTCGGTGGTGCGGAGGCCGGAGAAGGGTGCGATGGCTGGGAGTTGGTGGTTCTCAGCGGTTCTGGTGTCGTTGTTCGAGCCTATTTGTTTGTTTATTTGTTAGTGCCAATGAAGGTATGGTCAAGGTCGTAAAATGAAAGCATTAGGCTCATGCTTGTAGAACCTGTGTATTGGGCGCGCGGGAGAAGACGTACTCATCGTTCTAGATACATAATTCGGGTCATACCCTGCCTTGTGCAGTTCAGACCTTTTCTGGAAGATCTCGACTCCGACACGAAGGTATAATCCAAAAGTAACGAGGATGGAAATCCAGATAGGGGCGTAGTAGACGTAGATACGAAAGGGTGCCCAGTCATTGTCTATCCAGCACCAGAGCTATTGGCTATCATCAGCCAAGTTGTATTTATATATATGCACGGGTAAATACGTACAGTTGCGTTACCGTACATACGACCCTTCTCCTTCGTCTTGTAGAAGAGACAAAACATTGCTGGGATGAAGGGAATGCCGTAACACATGGCACCGTACAGCCAATACAGTCCTTTCAGGCGATCGGCATCGTAGCGATGGAAGAAGACGAGGTAGACGTTGAATGCCATGGCGCAGGACCAAAGAGGGTCGGATAGCATGAACCTTCGCTCACTCGTCAGAATTTTGGGCTTTCTCTCGCCGAACCGTCATCCACATATCGAAAGCTAAACCTGAAGATCGAACTTACATCTCAAGCAGGAATCCTTGGAATTGGCAAAGTGCGCCATTGATGTTCGTGAGAGCGGAACCTCCGATCAGCGCAGCAACATTGGCGAAGAGGTTGGCAAAAGAGGCATAGAAGATGAGAGTATTAGAGAGAGTCCGGAAGGGTTTGAAGAGAATGAATGTGATGATCAAGAGAAGAGTCGAGAACACAGAGATTGAAGCGGTCGTGCGCTCAATGACTACCAAAGTCTGGATTTGGGGGTTGGTGAGAAGCATTGGAGAATCGATTACGTGGAGAAACAAGGAGGAACAATGAAGAGGTCGTAGATTTTTGTTAAAGGGGGGGAGAGGTTCTTGAAGAAGAGAGGGTGGAGTTCGGTTTTGAGTCGAAGAGGGCCAGGTCAAAATTAACCGCGGGATTCACTAGAGTCTGCTTCTTCTTTCGCTCACTTCCTTGTTACTAACTTGCTTACCTTCAGTCGACCTGTGTTTTCTATTCCAGCTATTTCTCTCTCTCTCTGTCTCTCTCTGTCTCTCTCTGTCTCTCTCTGTCTCTCTCTCTCTCTCCCTCTCTCTCTCTCTCTCTCTTTCTCTCTCTCTACCTTTTGGAATCTCGAACCCCTTACGCTGCCGACCAAGGATGCGAGGCCGGCAACCTACCTGCTCACATTGGCACACCTACGGAGAGCGTGGAGCAACTGTGATAACCAGATGCACCTAATCCAAACGGTCGACGTGATGTGATTCGGGATCAACCACCACCGGAGGGGTAATGGAAGAGCGGTGGCATTCATTGTCTATCGACATTTGGGCTCACGAATCCAGCGCCCAATCACGGCCTTCCCGATACATGGCGAGCTGCATAGAAGCTGAGCCCCAGCGCGGAAATCTGCAGCAATGGATGGGTGGGTGGGAAGATGGGATGAAGAGAAGCAGCGGAGAGGAGATGGTGTGTTTGCGCCTATATCACCTGCCGATATTAGACGGTTGTGGAGCAGTTGGGAAGAAGAAGTATTTGCAAAGTGTTTCATACCTGCTGATACATATATAGATATACATATCATATATACGGTTATCATGATCATATCATACCTAGCGAGCAAAGGGATTGGAAGGGCACGGGGGTATTTTGGCCAATGGAGATATGATATCGTCCGGCAGACATCCCGACATCCCGACATCCCGACATCCCGACATCCAGACATATAGAGAAATATTACAAGTTATCCCAGGTGGAAGCAGATATTTGGGGAGAAGAAAGGATGAAAGGAAGTACGGACAGAATGTTGGAATGGTCGATTGCATCGGTAGATCCTTGCCTGGCCTGGCGGCCTTCAGAGGATCATGCAAACAAACCCTTCGGATTCGGGAGATATTCTACACGGGAAGGCTGCCATGAAGTTATGGACGAGCGATGTACCTGGGAAGCGATAGATGGCCGCAGGGGAGTATATATACTACGTATATGTATATACTCATAAATGGATTTATAAATATACTTATATATATATAAATATAGAAAGCATGCATATATCCGCATGTGAACATCACGTGACCTCGTTCGGTCATCTTGATTGGTTGGGCATGACAAAGTGGGTGGATCTATCGAGTGCGGGTTCCTCATAGTATCTATCATCAGCCTCGACCTGGCTTAACGACCTGGACGAGACGTGTCTCGACGCCGACCACACGACAGCCGACCGTCACAACTACAACTACAACTACAAATTCAACTTCGCAAACAAACGGACGTTCCGTCCGGAGCGCGTGCGGCGATATCTATCACTGCTTTACACACTACGACTCCCAACACGCCATGGCCCACGTCTCCGGCCTAGCGGCCTTCTTCATCATCGTCGCATTCTTCGCCCTGGTCGGCACATCGGGCTGGATCATCTACACCCACCTCCGCGCTCGCCGACTCGGCTTGCCCCCGCCAAGCTTCTCCTCCTACAACCCCTTCCACAGCTCTAATGGCTACGCTTCTTCCGGCTCCCCGCCGGGCGGCGTAGGAGGCTGGTTCAAGGACAAGATGCGCGCACTCAAGAACCGGAACAACCGATCTGCCGGCGGCGCCTACGAAGAACCGCTCAGCAGCTCCGTGCGTGGCCGAGCAGGCAACAGAGGATTCGGGCCGCTGGACCCCGACGATGCGTGGGATGCGAGGGTCGGCACGGAGGCGGATGCGTATGGGCCTGGCGGATACTACGAGGAGCAGGAGTTGGGACAGCACAATGACCGAGGGGGGGCTGGACTTGCGCCTACACGTGGAGAGCTTAGAGGCCGGAGTCTGAGCAGAGAGCCAGAGCCATACATCGGGGGCACACAGGCGGGTCTGGATCGGAGATACGATGAGGAGATGGGCCGGAAACCTATGACGAACCCTTTCGACGATGGCGCTGAGCCGGCCAACGGTGGTTTGAGGGGTGTCAGTCCGCGGCCGTTTGTTGATACGACTCAGGCAAACGGACATGGCCGGCAGGACAGCATCAATGACAGTCCGACGGAGAGGAGGTCGATGTTCAAGGAAGACGTGTAATTCTAGGGCCTGGTTTTGCAGTAATCGGTGTTTGGGAATGGGAGGGATCCGCATCTTCTTTCTCGTGTCTGCTACTCGGGATCAAACACGGGGGGATGGGTCATGGTCGATGATTTGGGTGCACATGATAGATTGGGGCTTAAGAAATGGCATCAAAACTTGGCCATTTACACACTCAGGACGGGTAGGAAGCTCGTGCAGGTGAGCATCATGCTCTTGAGGGTCGGGCGCTTCCAAGCCGTCCTTTGGTTTGATAAGAGGTCGCTCGTACAGGCGCTTTCAGCCGTTGTGAATATGAAAAGCTTCCATCAGACCTGGCTTGTATATCTTAAGATGCTGTTCACTTTGGCGGAAGGTGATTCGGCTTATGATAATTTGCCAGTAGGGTATCTAGATACTCTATTAGTCCGTATACCTGTACCTGTACCTGTACCTGTACCTGTATCCGAATGTCCGGCATGGCAAGAAAGAATGAAATCACAGCAGGTGTTCCAACTGGCTTTCCCCCAAAAATAGAGAGAAATAAAGTCTACCGGTATAATTCGTACATACGGAGTCAGCAATACGTGGTGTCGTTTAGGGCCGATTCTCGGGACGAGACGTCTTGTTTTCTCTCCCATCCCGAACCACCAGCATCAGCCGGGACACTCGGCATTCCAGGCAGCGTTTACCGGTATTCCACGTTCTTCGCGTTCTCGTCGCTCGGTCGCTTACGCATGTGCAGATCATCGGTGCAACATTTCTTTCTTATTTGAACGTACCGGTAGGCCTAAGTGATCCGGCTACGTTGATCTCTTTTCTTGTGGGCTTGCTCGCCACCTTTGCAAGCAGATCTCGGGACGCTTAGGATTCAGGACTCCGGTACCTGTGTATAGCGACTCTCAACAACTGGGGTTGCACTCTCTACCCAACGCAAGTTCGTATCAGCCAGCGCACAGCGCATAAACCACGAAGGGCGGCGAGCTTTCGGGCCGGGCATTCTTCAAACCAACGGAAAACTCGTCTTGCGTCGTAAAGGGACCATCGGCTTCGAGGTCTAGGGTGCCACGCAGCCAAACTCTCAGCCAGGATCCATAGCAGGATCAAAAGTGGATTTTCTCAGGCCAGCCTGCTGAAGCTGCTGCTGTCAAATGGTAAGGCTCGCAACTTGGGCATCCTCAGCTCTATGGCAGGATTATCGGACTTTACCATCTTGCAGATCCGGCTCCGTTCACAGACTTTCAAAATTAGCGCTTCTTTCTTTTACAGTTTACTCCTTACACGTTACGGACAGCTAACCCACTCGTTGGAGTTGGCGATAGATATGCTTTCTGTGTTGCGCCAGCTTTTTTAACTCGGGCTGGAAAACTTCTGAGTCCTGACAGATCGGAAAGTGCTTTAACCTTGGTCCGTGTTTGCAGCCCACTCGGAAGAGCGAGTACGGATAGTATCTTGTACTGTAACACAGAGAGACCTGTATAAGGGCATCTGCTCGGCGTTCGTCTCGTGGGCCGAGGAATAGCTTTTGTGTCTCATTCCCACCTTTTGTTGTTTACCATGGAGAAGTCTTGCTGTGAGAGATTCTTCAATACCTACCTATACTACTACAGTTTATGGATGCCGGCTGGCCGCTTCAACTCTTTCTCGTTTTTTCTTCGGAGCTCCGCGGGCTTTTCAGGTACTGTTAGTCATTCTCGTCCTACATCCGCCGGCTGCTGCTGTTTACTTCCTTGGCGTCCAGCATTATGTTAGGATTCATGAAGCCATGATAGCGAGCTTTCATGCAGCATTGTGTCTAGCTGGTTGAGAAGTGTCCTTCAGAAACTTCTCATCATGTCGAAAAGAGAGCGCTTCGACGATGATCGGCAATTCACGGCGTAGGCTGGGGCTATCTTGGCCATCAATGCTTCTCGTCCCGGGCCATCATACGAGCCTCCCTCTTGACCTTTCAAGTGTTCATCAAGGATCCGCAAAGTTTGACAAGCACTCCTACTTCGGGTAGATGATAAGAGAAGCTGTTGGCAAATACTACGTATGTTGCACTTGGGCAGGCGATAAGGGGTCTTGGGCCTCTTAGGATTCGTCCTTGTTGTGGCTTATTTTAGAACATCATTATACAAAGTATATGTATCTCTGGGCATTTCCAACCCAGCCCTCATCAATCGTTCCGCACTCAAGCAATCTCTCGTCATCATGGATGCAGCAAGTGATCTCGGAACAGTTGAGGGGGCCAAGGCCCAGCTACCTGCTGAGAGTCAGCTAGGTCGTCGATCCAAGGAGAACTTCGACGTTGCCGTCCGGGATGGGTCTGAAGAGGACTTCGAGTTTCCTACCGAGGAGGATTTGGCAACCCTCCGCAGAGTATCTGGACAGATCCCCTGGTCGGCATACACCATCGCGTTCGTCGAGCTGTGTGAACGTTTTTCTTACTATGGAACAACCGCTGTCTGTTCGTATGCCGATGCCTTCGAACGATCAGTCTAACAGCCTACAGTCGTCAACTTCATCCAGCAGCCGCTCCCTCCGGGATCCAAAACAGGCGCCGGTTTCGCCGGTCAGTCTGGTGCTTTGGGCATGGGGCAGCGTGCCTCGACCGGTCTGACCACTTTGTCAGCACTCGATTCTCAAGTCCCGGCTGCGGCTGGCTGACAAGATTCATAGCAACCAGTTCTGGGCCTACCTCACGCCGCTTGCCGGTGCCTACGTGGCAGATCAGTATTGGGGCCGTTTCAAGACCATTCAGATATCCTGCGCGGTCGCTTTGGTCGGCCACGTTATCCTCATCATCTCGGCCATCCCTCCGGTCATCATTAATCCCAAAGAGTCCGTTGCGTGCTTCTCAGTCGGGGTTTTCATCATGGGTATCGGTGTGGGGGGCTTCAAATCCAATATCTCACCGCTGATTGCAGAGCAATGTAAACAAGCCTCTGTAACCGAAAGTCCCTGGCATGATGCTGATTCTCTTACCACAGGTACCGAGACAGTGATGCGGGTGAAAACTACAGAAGCTCGCGAGCGAGTGATCATGGATCCTGCGGTGACCACATCTCGTGTGTATCTGTATTTCTACCTCATGATCAACCTGGGAGCTTTGGTTGGGTCCATCAGCATGGTCTATGCCGAGAAATATGCTGGCTTCTGGCTAGCATTCCTCCTGCCAACGTGCATGCTCTGTAAGTCGTCCTCCAATGCCCCCTTACCGTTACACTCTGTTGACCTTCCAGGTATCTGCCCAGTGCTCATTATCCTCTGTAAGAGTCAGTACCATCTAACGCCACCAACGGGGTCAACAATCGCCACGGCAGGCAAGCTGTGCAACCTTGCCATGAAGGACAAGTGGACATGGAATCTAGCGGCGCTGTAAGTTAGAAGATTCAAACCCTTCAAGCCTTGATCTAGCTAATCGCCCTGCAGTAAACGAAATATCAGCGCGGAAGGGTTCTGGGACAACGCCCTGCCATCTCGTCTGGGTGCCAACAGGCCAGAGTGGATGACCTTCGACGACACCTGGGTGCATGAAGTCAGCAGAGCTCTGGTTGCATGCAAGGTTTTCCTGTGGTATCCTGTATACTGTAAGCTCCCGACCCCCAACGGGTCTGACCTCTTCCCGAGAGCCTCTTCTGACGATTGCCAGGGCTCGCCAACAACCAGGCGAGCAACAACCTCACATCTCAAGCTGCAACCATGACACTGAACGGCGTCCCCAACGATATCGTAGCCAACTTCAACCCCCTCTTCATCGTCATCCTAGTCCCCGTCATGGACCGACTCGTGTACCCGACCTGCCGCAGGATCGGATTCAACTTCTCGCCCATCAAACGCATCACGTGCGGATTCTTCCTCGCCGCCATAGCCATGATCTCCGCGACCGTCACCCAAGCGTACATCTACCACCAGACGCCGTGCGCCAACAACAACGCCAGCGACTGCATTCTCCCCAGTGGAGACTTGTGGCACTCCAACATCTCCGTGTGGGTGCAGCTGCTGCCGTACGGCCTCATGGGCTTCTCCGAGATCATGGCCGCGGTCACGGTCCTCGAGTACGCGTTCACGAAGGCGCCGACCAACATGCGCTCCAGCGTCACGGCCGTCTCGCTCTTCATGAACGCCATCTCGTCGGCCGTCGCCCAGTCGCTCACGGTGATGTCGGCGGATCCGCTGCTGGTGTGGAACTACGGCACCGTGTCCGTGCTGGCCTTAGTCGGTGCGATCCTGTTCTACCTGACGAACAGGAGGATTGAAGAGCGCGAAGATAAGATGAACATGTTGCCACAAGCCGAGTTCGGGGAGATGGAGGCGGGCAAGAGGTTTGGGGGGATGGATGACGAGAAGACGGTAAGTAATCGTGTGTAGGGCGACTGGGGATATCGATAGGAAAAACGAGGATAATGGTAAATGTAATCACAGTGATGAATGTGACGACGAGCGGATGCGATATGACTATGATGAATGTGGAAGCTATTGACGCTATATGTAAGTACTCACCACGTTTCCAGCTCGTCAACATCTTGAAGCTCTCGTGGCAGACAGACAGATATAGGTCTCAAGGGGAAAGCGAGCCAAGTACCATCACGTTGTTTGATCCGTCCACCTAATTGGCACCTGAACCAAAATTTCTCTCGTCTCTCGCCCCCCTTTTCCTCTTTCCTCCTTTCGCTCTCCGCATTTCTTCGGTGGTCATCGAAATGAGTTAATACATAGCCGAACTTCCATCCCTCCTCTCTTTGCATCGCCGCAAAGGCTTGATGCGAGAGAAGATATTGTACGATGGTATACCGGCCGACTTGTCAAGGTTCTTGAGAGGGGCGTCATGAGTGCCTTCGAGGAGAGCTTGGAGAAAGAGGGTACGAGGGTACATTGAGAAGCTGCTGGCCTGATCGGGAAGAAACCCCATGATTGTCTCATCTCGTCAATCCCCGAGACCTTCTTCCCTTCTCCGCCTGTTTTGAATACCTGACGTTGGAAAGGAAGCATATGCCGACCTCCTCGGGTTATCGCTAGATAGATAGTTCGTGGGAAGGCCATCCTAACCTCTTCTCAGTCAGATTTTCTGCGAGTTATGAGTTATTCGATCGTATAGTGGGATGGGTTGACGCGCTTCGTCGCGGGCATGTGTTCGAGAGATTGGTTCTTAGCCAACTGCGGAAGGATGGGTTGACACGTTAATCGTGGGCATCCGCAAAGTGAAGAAGACGGTCACAGCTAGTTCTATTATTTCCCTTATTTCTTTATAATTTTTTTTTTCTTTTCAAAAGGAATTTCTGCACATATTTTCGGGGGACCTGTTTTTTTGGGGGGATTTGTTCTTATTGTGTTGTTTGTTTGCCGAGAATTTAAGCGAGATCTGGCACCTACTTACCACTTCACTATATCTACCTAACTATGTACGGTCCGAGGGTATGACAAGAATTAAGCCTTCGTAAGCCCAGCCCAACACTATATCTTACCTTGCTACAGTAAGAATTATGCAATCAAAGCAACGCGGATAAGTAGTAGTGGTTATCGTTATTGTATTTATTTAACGTCGGACGGACGTCAGGCGTAACCTGCCGCCCTGGGACCTCCCATGGGATACGGACGTGCTAATATAAAGAATCACGTACAAGAAAGCCATATAAAGCGTTTAAATATAGTATAGCAGAGCTGCTGTCGGCTACGCCCTTCCCTTATAAATGAGATGGATAACAGTGATAGAGACCTCTCGGTAAGCAAAGAAAACCAAAGAAGCAAGGCAGAGACTGTCGTGGCTAGCTTAAAAGCGTAGGGATATCAGAGTCGGAGTTCGACTAGTGTCGAGGCCGGACCGAGGCCAGCCATGATGAATAGTAGTAGTTAGTAGTAGTATTAGTAGTAGTAGTAGTAGTTATTTACGTCGGGCGGGTGGCAGGAGTAAGCTGCCGCCCTGGGACTTCACATGGGGTTTGGGACGTGCTAAGCTAAGAGTTACATCCAAAAAGGCCCCAAGAGAGCATTTCAAAATGGTGCAGCGTGGCTGCTGTCGGGTGCGCCCACCACCCGCACCAACGCGGATAAGATGAAGACGAAAGATAGAATAGAAGAAAAATAATTTTATCTATTTATGTATAGGTCCAAATGTTGTTAATCTATAGAAGTAGGGTTCAATCATACAGAAAAGCCAGTTACTCACTCACGCCCTAGACCCGAAGGCCAAATGAAAGACAGTCGGTCGGAACAGGCCCCCCTTCCCAATTAATCACCTACACACTCCTCATTTCCTCATTTCCTCCTTGGATCCTTTTTCAGATCTAGATAGAAACGAGCCTGAACTGATCCAGGTATATCTCGTTCTCGTGTCCTGGTCTCATGAACGGGCAAGTCACCGTGACCTCAAACTCAATGGTCGTCTGGCGGGCCCTGGTCGTGAACGACCTATTGACAAAGGTGTAGCCGTTGGCGTTCATGCCGGCGATACGGCTGCAAGTACTGCTCACGTCGTCGCAAATCTGAAGGGTACAAGGGCCGGCGTTCCTCGGTTTTCTAATGGCGAGCTGGCCGTAGCCGGAAATGCTGTATCTGGATCTGGGGTTCACGACGATGCTCTGGCGGAACTTGGCTGCAGCGCCATCCGCAACAACTATCTCGCTGGTGGGGTGTTAGACGTTACTGGTTGCAGCAGATACTATAAGGGCAGAGGGAAAGGATGGATATGACCTACAGATACCTGGCGCCATATGAGCCAATTCCTGTGGCTGATGAATCTCTGATTTCAAGCGATACAGGGCTGAATGGGTCCGAACTTGCTGTCCAGTAATCTTCGAATGGTAGAGACTCGAAGCCACCGTTTCGGATTTGGGTAAGGGTGGTGGCAGGTAGTGGGAAGGAGATGGTGGCCGTGCTCGATGTCCTTCCTGTACTGGTGCTGAGCGTGCTCGAGTTGATTGCGCCTATAGCGGTAGGTGACGATGTGAGCGAAGTCAAGCTCGAAGTTGCCTCGCCGGCTATCGATGAGGTTTCGAAAGCGGGGATAGAACTGGTCAAAGTCTCGGTTAACGGTGCTGTGGATAATGGGATCGTCTGAGCGAGGGAAGAAGTTGAGAAATCGGTAGACGCTGTCGACGAGTTAAGGAAAGGGGCGCTCGAAGTGAAGAGAGCTGTCTCAGTTGCTAGGGTGGAGCTGAATTCAGGGACGATAGTAGTCGAGACTACTGGGGCAATGGCTGTCGACGAGTTAAGGAAAGGGGCGCTCGAAGTGAAGAGAGCTGTCTCAGTTGCTAGGGTGGAGCTGAATTCAGGGACGATGGTAGTCGAGACTACTGGGGCAACAGTAGAATTCGTGATGGCCGACGAAGTGAGCTGAGGAGCAAAAGTAGAGCTTTCGAGTTCAGAAGACTCAGTCGAGCTCACGATCAGAACCTCCGAAGAAAAGATCGAAGTGATTTCGGGATCGAGCGCTGAGGAGGTGGGTTCCGGGGCGATTGTGAAGTTTGCAAATCCAGTGCTGGTTGGCTCAAAGACGGTCTCCGATGCACTCGCGCTGGAGAAAGTCGAGGATGCGAAAGTTGAATTGGCGAAGAAGCCGGAAGTAGAGGAAGTTGGGACATCGGAGGTGGTGAAGATTGGCTCAGCAGTTGTTTCCGAAGAGAAACTTGCAGTCGAGGAAACTGTGAACTGCTCGGCACTGGAATTGGCAAATATCGCGGAAACTGAGGCAGAGGGGAGCTCCGACGTCTCGGAGATGAAGGTCGATGATTGATTGAAGGCAAGTGTTGTCGTAGCAGCCTCGGTGCTCGGGGCAGATGTTATAACGCTTTCGGCCGAGCTGAGCACAGCAGAGGGCTCGAAGTAGGTGAAGGTGAAGCTGGAAGTTTCCTCGGCGATCGCGGAGGCATCAGAACTGGTGATGTATTCCGTGACTGTGCTGGTCGGAACGAAAGAACTGACTACGGCCGAGGAGAAAGAATAGAAGCTCTCGCTCGCCATCGACAGAGAGACAGAAGACTCGGAGAGGATCGAGGAAATGTAGGCCGAGGATGTGGCTTCTGCTTCAACGGAGGAGGTGTAAGAGGCGAATTCCGAGACGACATACGAGAGCTGAGTAGCGCAGTCGGTGACGGTCACGTCTCGCTTCGCAATGAGGTTTTGCTCGGGAACGGCTGCTGCAGCCACACGACCTCTGCGGAATGGGTGGCCGGCGGCATCGGCGACAGTGAGAGACGCTGAGGCAGCGCCCAAGAGGAGGAATCGGGCTACAGAAGGAGCCATTGTGAAGATCAAGCCTGAACGAGGGATGCTTGGACCGGGACAACGAAGGAGGGAAGGAGTGCGGAGAGAATCGGATGGAGAGAATGGGGAGGAGAGAATGGGTTGAGGTTGACAGATACCAGTAGAGGCGTGGAGGTATATATATACATATGATTCCCAATTGACGCCAATATGATCATGATGATAATATGCAGCCAAGATAGGTCATTTGCTCGGGCGAGACATCCATAGGCCCTGTGAACAACCAAAAAGCAAAAAGCACTAACCGAGAAAAAACAACATGCGTGCCGGTCCATGAGCTTGACTTGAAATGAAGAGCAAGGGCGTGCATTTGAATCAAGTACATACAGATACTCTCCTTAGAGCAAGGTGGAGAAGGCTCCGATATGGCTGGCCGGGCTCTGTCAAGTCTCGAATTTCAGTAAGGGAAGCAAAACGAGCTATTTGTTAACCAAGGGGGTCAAATGCAGGCGTCGTGATATGCAGAGTGCACAGCTCATGGGTGCCCGACGAAGGGGGTACATGATAAATAAGCTACTAACTGGCGCAAGGAATTGAAACATAGTAACGCAGAAAAAAAGAGCTTAGAAGCACAGGAGGATTGATGTTGACGTTCGCTAATTCGACTCTATACGGACGAATATTTGGTCGCGAAGCAAGGGAGATCAACCTCGGCACCCGATATTCGATCCATCAAATATGACTGCAAAAAAAGGGATTGATTGAGGTTGAGCTTTAATTTTAGTTGGGTATCCACTGCAGTTGCTCGAAGAGGATTCGTTACTCGTTAATTTAACACCGGGGCCTTGTGCACGCGGAGCCTATTGATTTGGCCCTTTCCAGGGAAGTTTTCACCTTACTAGGCGTTCGACCTCAAAGTTCAAGGGTATCCGTTTAACTTGAGCAGCAGATCAGCCAACTCGGGTGAGTTCTCGGCCGTCTCTGGAGACATCGCAATTGCCTCAAGATGCTTGTACATCACCGGGTCAGACGTAGCCACCTTCTTGACCAACGCCGCCAGATAGTCCATAGTAGGCTTGGTGAGTTCAGTTATGCTCATCATCTCCAGGAACTCGGCAAAGAGATCCAACAAAGTAATATGCATCAGCATATCCTGTTCTTTATTGACCATATCGACTGTAGCAAAGTACAGAATGCCAGGCTGACCCACATTGTACTTCTTTTCGATGTCTGGGAATTTCGTGTGGGTGATGGTTTGGAAATCCAGAGTAGCAAGCCGTGGAAGGATCCGCAGCAATCTAGCCTGTGCCAAGGACTTTTGTCTCTCGTCCAACTGGCCTTCTCCGGTACCGATTGTCGTAGAGCTGCACAGTGAAAATATCGCGTCGTAGATCTCTCGGTCCTGAAAGACCCGTCTCCATAATAATCCCTGGCCTGGGGCCATGCCGGCTGCTAGCTGTAGGCCACCCATCTTCGTAGTGATACTCGCCGACGACCTTCTGTCGCAGTCCACCTCTAGGAGATCCCCCAGAACCATTGTAGCCTTCTCTCCAACCCCAACATCGGGAGTGCTGAGCCAGGTCCGCAAGAAGCTCTCCACCACTCCTCGCATGATCGATAGGATGGCGGTATCGCCAGGACTTCTGGTTGCCTTCTCGAGAATTATGATGGCGAGGAGATTTGCCGATGGAGCTGGAGAGCGGAGTGCCTGGATGAGGGCATCTTCTGAAGCTAAGGTGAGGACCTGGGTGAATTGGATGGGACGTATGAGCTTGATGGAGAGGCTGGCGAGGATGGTAGGATCCTGCTCGTAGGTCAAGAGGATTCGGGTGAGGTTTGGAAGAAGGCGCGGAATTAAGGGCGGGATATTGGTATCTGGGTTGAACTACTTAGCGATTTACAGCGCGAAGAAGTTGATAGGGGAGGTAGGTACCAGTCAATTGTAGCTCAACCTCGTCGAAGAGCTTCGCATCGAGGGGCGTCTCCGGGACATCTACCACATGTCGAAGGTGTCTTTCCAGCTCTTCGAGCCCGGCGACCGGAACATGGTTCATGCTGGCGGCGACGATACTGTAAGAGTATCGAGTCAAGTCGAGTCGAGTCGAATCTGTGATTGCCCTCACCGGGGCAGCAGATAGCAACGAGGATGAGGTCTACCTGGATTTACGAAGTTTACTTACACTGTTACTTCATTCCCCGCCTTCTCCCAGCGTCCGCCGGAGAATCTCGGCCCGGGACCCCTCCTCCATAGCTCGTGTAGTGGGGGCGGGTCTAAGAATTTATTTTATTCCTCCATTCTCGCATCACAATTTGACAACTCAACGCCAACGACGAAACGAGGATACATATACCCGCAGATACCCCCGACTCCGATTCCGACGTCAAACACTGTGACGGTCCATCTCCAGTCACTTCCATCCCAATTCAGTTTCTACCGCCATCACGCAAGATGGCAGGACGCGGGCGCGGTCGAGGCGCACCAGGCGTTCCGGGCCAAGTGAAGGGCGCAACCTGGGCTTTCGATCCTACTCTCAAGCTCGATTCTGCGCCTTCGGAGCTCTTTCCTGTACGTGTTTTTCAGCCTGCAAATTACCTCTCTGCCGCAAGAATTGGACCAGTTAACATCTACAGCCTCATCCTAACCTGCGCAGGCCCGCTCCTCTCACCGACCGCGAGATACGCCAAATCATCGAGACGCGAAACCTCACGAAAAAGATCCACCGCGGCCCCCTATACACGAAATCAACCAAGCGCGATCTCAGCGGTAGCGTCAAGACCTTCAGCGAGGACCAGGTTAATGCGCAATTTGGCGGGAACGTAAAGGCGGATATGGATCCGTTCACGGGTGTCGAGACGTACAGCATGAGATTTCTCCTCAAGAAGAATGAATTGCCTAAGCTGTCTGATTGCCCCTTCCGTATGCCCTCTTTCCTGGCTTGCACTTCTCTGGTTAACTTAGTACAGACAAGTCCCTCTTCCCCGAGGATCTCTGGGCCACCCTCGAAGGCACCGAGGGCCTAGAGGCTCGTAAGCGCCTCGACCGCATCCAGAAAAAGAAGGCTGCTCTGGCTAGTGGTAGCGGCGCAGTGGCTGGCGACAAGCTCAATCGCTTAAACGACCGCATCGATAAGGCGACCGAAGGCATCGACGATGACGAGGAGCCAGACGAGGAGGACGAAGATGCTATGGTTGATTCAGAGTTTGATGACGAAGATGGCGGTGATTACGATGCTGAGCAGTACTTTGATGGTGGCGATGGCGGGGATGACGACGATGATGGTGGTGGACGGGGTGATGATTATTAGCTGTGGTGAATAGGCATTTGTTGGATTCCGCTGCAGCGTGTCAGCGAGGCGTTGGGAAACGTTCTTAGATATTTAAACGAGGCTGATCTGTACCGGCTCGTCGCACTAGAAGGCATATCAGGGGGGCGTTTGGTAACGGAAGGTAATCAAAATCGCATAGACCATAATCCAATGATCGAAACCTCGAAAGTCAAAATCGCTTCAATTTCTATATCACAATCGAACTTCGGCTTATTCCGCTTGAAGCGTACTTATAAGGGTGACTACTTGGTAGAAGTCCAAAAATAATCAGCTCAGTCAACTCCCCACCAGAATTTGTCATTCCGCATATAATACCGTGAGACCGTAGACCGAGGAGAATTGGGCATCTCGTTCGCTCTGCCATACACAAGCCTCGGACCGGCAGATTAGTAGTTGTCGGGTGGGTGACTATGTTTTGGGTTTTTTTTGTCCCCCCGTTTACTACTCAATAACTGACCACTCCCTCGCCTTCTTCCTTTCCGTTTGTTTGTTTGGGAAGAAAACAATTCTGGCCTTTCGAGCGCTGGGTACGTATGGAGGTTGCAGATCTAGCTAGCCAGCTAGCTGTTTTCTTGTTTTCTGATGCTTCCCCTTTTGGTACCGCTATAGCAAAGTCAATCTTTGGACGGAGCTACGTCTCGGGCAGGCTTCCTCTTTTTCTTT